CCAAGAAGCGGTCATTTAAAGTATCGAGAAAATTTGTCTCTGCATTTCTTCCTGAGGTGACATGTACCCAGTCAATATGGGGATAATTGAAATCCCCCACGATTATTGAGTTTTTTTATTGTGATACCCTCTCTAATGTCCCTTAGCATTTCATCATCACTATCATTGTCCTGGTCAGGTGGTCGATAAGAATATAACAGTAGGGATCTATATTAGAGCATGGAATTACTATCCATAGAGATTCTATGGAACATGTGGATTCATTTAAGATTTTTACTTCATTTGATTCTACATTTTCTTTCACATATAATGCCACTCCTTCCCCCCCCCCAACCTGCTCTGTCCTTCCGATATATTTTGTACCCCGGGATGATTGTGTCCCATTGATTGTCCCCACTCCACCAGGTTTCTGTGATGCCTATTATATCAATATCCTCCTTTTAACACGAGGCACTCTAGTTCACCCATCTTATTATTTAGACTTCTGGCATTTGTGTACAAGCACTTTAAAAACTTGTCACTGTTTATTTGCCCTTTTCTGATGTCAGATTCTTTTTTTATGTGAATGTTTCTCATCTGATCTGGCCCCTACTTTATCCTCTTCCATCCTCTCCTCCTGACTAGAACCTAGAGAATCTCTATCAATAGACTCTCGTCTAAGAGAAGTCTCTGTCCGATCCACGTGCTCCGCTGCAGCAATCGGCTTTCCCCCGTCTCTTAGTTTAAAAGCTGCTCTGCAACCTTTTCAATGTTAAGTGCCAGCAATCTGGATCCACCTTGGTTTAGGTGGAGCCCATCCTTCCTGTATAGGCTCCCCCATCCCCAAAGTTTCCCCAGTTCCTAATAAATCTGAACCCCTCCTCTCTACACCATCGTCTCAGCCACACATTGAGACTCTGAAGCTGGCTTTACTTCCGCTACACTCGCCCCCCCGGTGCAGAGGTTGTGTCAGGGATAGCTGAAATTGTTTAGGGGTGCATAGCTAGGGATCAAGGGAGTGGGACACTTATGTAGCACTTCCTATCCAAGGATATCAAAGCACTTTACAAATCTGAATGAATTTAGCCTCCGTGTCTTTGTGAGGTGCAGGCAGGCAAGTGGTGGTGTTCCCATTTTACCATGAGGAAACTGAGTCACAGAGAAGCTAACTGACTTTCCCAAGGTTACACAGAGTCCATAGTAGAGGTGGGAGTAGAATCCCTGTCTCCTGAGTGACTGTGCAGGAAGCATTGCTAGCATTCAGCTGAACCACCCAAAGAGAAAGCAGTAGTATGCTGCCATCCTATTTTTCTTCTTTTAAAAATGGTTATATGTGAAAATATATAGGGCCTGATTCTCTTCTCACCAAGCTATAAATCAGGAGTATATCCATCGAACTGAATGGAGTTAAACTGGTGTAAAACTGGCATTAATGAAATGGAGAATGGGGCCCTAGAGTAGAAAAGTATGCAATAGTATCATAACTGCTGTATATACCATTTGTAGAGTGTCTGTCTGTCTAATTTATGCCAATGTTTCCAGGGTCCTCCAGGTCCTCCTGGTCCAGAGGGACTTCCAGGGGACAAGGGATTTCCAGGACCCAGGGTATGAATTGACCACGTAAAGTGTATGTAATTTTATTTGCATGAAAAGGTACTCCCTTTAAATTTGAAGTTGAGGAGAGGTGATTTTTTTTCCCTTTCTCGGGCTACAGTATGTATTCAATAGTCTAAATCATTAAGACACTCCCATTTTGGGGTGCCGGAGGTAGTTTATATTGTAATCTGCTTGGTGATGTCACTTTGAAAATGCTAATTCTGTGTTTTCACCAGCAATATGACAATAGGTTTGTGTGTTTGTTTGTATATCAAATTATGTTACAATATTTGAACTAAAATTCTAAGGGTCAGATTTTAGAAAAAAAGAGACCCAAAGTCTATGCATGTAATTGTGTGACTGAATTTTCACACTATTGCAACTGAAAGCACAAATTGGGTATTTGCATGTGCAAATGACTATTTAGATGCAAATCTAGACAACTATTTAAATGCCTAATTGTACTTAAAATGTAGGTGCAACCTTTTTACCTTTGGAGCTTGGGCCTCGACTGAAAACTGGCAATGAAAGAAAACACGTGTTGCAATATTTTTTAAAAATTAGGATCGTATATCTGGTTTTTGGAATTTTTTCTAGCCATGTCTGAAGTTTGCAGCTTATGGCTGTTTTCTGATAGTTTTGTAATATCAGTCTGGAATTAAAAGATCCCAATAAAAGTGAGCTGAGATTTCACTCATCTCAAAAATTGAATCTGGACTCCACTCAAATCTAATTTTTGTTTGTAATCATTACTTGGGCATAAGCAGTGGTAATGTCACACAAAGATATATTGGACTGATGCTTAGGGGCAGCAACATTACACCTGATTTTCAAAGGTGCTAAGAACTTGGATTCCCATATATATTAATTATTAATTCTTCTCTCTCCCCAAAGCCCATTTAAAATAAAATCTTTCTGTTTCTGTTTGGGTATCATGATCCCAGCATTCTGGAACTTCAATTGCCACCATAGCATAACACAAATATTAAATGAAAAGAGAGAAAATATAGCAGAACTTGATTGTACTATATGATTGTCTTGTTGTACAAGAAATTCTTGCAGTTGAATTTTTAAAATTATCCAGGCAGTTGAAAGCTTTGAATTATCTAGTAATCTACAATCTTGTTCTTATAGGGCGCTAAAGGAACAATGGGACTGCGCCCTCCTCCCGTATGTATCTCTGGCGTGTTTCTATATTCATTATACATTTAGAAATAAACCACTTCATCAGCTAAGAATTCCTTTCTTTCTCCTTGTTTTGTTTCTGTTCTGCAGCCATGTGAAGTCATTGACTATGTGCGTAGACACAGCCGTAAGTACTACATCTTGCTTATAAAATTGCATCACCCAAAGGGTCAGCACTTGAAGTGATATTTTAGGGAAAGAAAATCAAGTTCTAGCGACCACTTCTTTTTCAATTTACAGACTTAACGGCCATTTACATGCAAAAGAGAGAGTTACTGCTTGACAAATAAAGAGCCTTCATTTCAGAGAGAGTATTTTTAGCTCACAGTAGATCCTTTTTATGATGCTGTTTTAGCTGTGTTTGTACCATGCACTAAGTGAATCGGTGAATGTCTATCGATTCTAGTAATCAGTCGGTAACTCTGCATGATCATTTCTAACATACTTCTCTGATTTTCTTTGAAAGCTCACAAATTACGAAACAAACAAAAAACCCTCTTTTGAAATATAAGACTATTTTAAATGGCAATAGCTGTTATAGGGATCTGTGTTCCCTTTGTTGTGCATAAAATAGCCTTCATGGAAATTAGGTGCTTGGGGCACTTGGAAAGGACTAGTGTCCATATGAAGATGCCCCAAGTGTCCTTAAGGGAAGATCAGGAAGTAAATTACATTATTTTATGTTTATCAATCTTAAATACAGATTACTCATATGACTAATCTTGATCTTCAGTGAAAGTTCAGCTGAGCTGGGCTAAGCAGAGAATATTTGAGAAAACATTAGAATGTTTCAGTCCAATGTCTCAAACCATGGAATTTGCCAAAACAAATTCAGGAGTTTGGATAATTTGCAGAGTTGTATCTATTTCTCTGAACTCTGTTAGAAACCAAGGACCATAGACATCCACAATAAGAACATGCAATGCAAATTAAGGGACAGAAGCTGAACTCCCTGTGCACTTAACAACTTCCATTGAAACCACTGAGTGTTTTGCATACACAGGGTATGCTGTAAAATTATAGGTGTGCAATCCATGACACCACAAAAACAACAAGGTGTCTGGTGGCGACTTAGACTAGCAGATTTATTTAGGCATACACTTTTGTGGTTCAAAAACCCACTTCAGATGCATGGAGTGAAAATTACAGATAGAGGCATAAATATATATTAGCACGTGAAGAGAAGGAAGTTACCTTGCAAGTGGAGAACCGATGTTGAAGGCCAATTTAGTCAGGGTGGATGTGGTCCACTCCCAATAATTGAGGAGGAGGTGTCAATACCAAGAGAGGGAAAATTGCTTTTGTAGTGAGCCAGCCACTCCCAGTCCCTATTCCCAGGACACTACATGTTTTCTTTTTTAAAGAGATTTTAAGATTTTTTTTTTTAAACTTATGTCTGTATAATATTTTTCCCTTTCTTCTTTAGTCTTGTTGGCAGGGTGAGTACTGTTTATTATTATATTGTTGTAACTAAAATCT